GTCAAAGAGGTAAATGCTCGTTGTTGCCTCATAGTTCTGTGAAGTGGTGTTTGGGGCAGGAGGCCCTGCAGCAATTGTTGAGTCGTTGGGGAAGGATGACAATGGGTGTTAAGGGGCACGGTTGGGCATCAGCTGGTTTCGTCTGGATGCTGCAATTGGTTGGAATCTGTCCAGTAACACCGATTGGTGTCCGGAATGTCCGCTGACATCGTGGGCAGGCCGTTGGGTGGTTGGGTGCTGGCGTTGCAAGTTGGGGTCAGTTGAGATTTGCATTCGGCTCTGACGACGGTGAGGCGGTTAGCTTCGTACATCGCTGGACCTGTTTGCACTGTCCTCCCCAGGTCGGTCGGTCGGTCTCGGTCGATGTTCATTAGCATGGTATAGAGCATGAGACTGGAGAGTGCATGTGCGAAGAGGAAGACCTGCTTCAACACGTTGGTCACTGCGAACGCCTGTAGGAGGGGTCCATTGTCTGTGACGTGCGGCATCTTGCCATCGTGGAGCCGACGCATCGACTGAGTGCATAGTTGGGAACAGCTGCATGATTTTCTGCAGTCTTTCACGATTCACCGTGCTGAAGGATTTTGTCAGATCCACGAAGGTAAAGCAGATTTGGGTCCGCATCATCTGTCATTCCTCCTGCAGTTGGCGGGCGGCGAAGGTCATGTCAGTGGTGCCGCGATGACGGCGGAAACGGCACTGGCATTCCGAAAAAAGTCCCTGCGTCAGACGGCTGTTGATGCGACTGAGGAGAAAGCGAGCGAAGATCATTCCGGCGATGTTGAGCAGCGAGGGTCCTCTGTGGTGGACGGAGAGATGGACGATTGTAACGTCCTTGAAATCTTGGACGACTTGACTTTGCTGCCACATCGCAGGCGTTGCACACCCCATGGCCGAACATACAAGGCTACAACAGCTTACAAGCCGGAAGTGGCCATCCCAGTCTGCCTTGTCTTTGTCGGTAATACCATTTCGCTTATATCATGCGCCGTTGTGTGGCTGCTGGTTGGGCTCGAGAGACAGAGAGCCCGTAAGACACAATTTGACGAGTAAGTCCCGTAAGAACGATCGCTACTCAATCCCTCTCCCTCAATGTGCCTGCGTTGTCAACAAACATTTTGGCCTTATCGATCATCTTCGGAGCCAATGTACCAACCGTCTGACCACCAAAATTCCTGCCTCCACGACCGCCTCTGCTCCAACCTCCACGTCGAACGCGTCGGCTTCGAATCCCCAAGGCGTGTCGCCGTCAAACAATACCACCTGCATTATCTCTGCCTCATTTACTGCGACGACTACGAACCCAACCACGTCTGCCATTCTCGTCATCGAACAAAATGCTCCGGACGCTACGATAACCACCATTGAATTCACCATCACAATCCCCACCTCCGACGATGAGGACCCGGTCCCAGCCTGTCCTCTTTGCGACTGCACTTTCAACTCACACATTGGCCTGGTCGGCCACTCCCGAATCCATCACATCTAACTTTCACCAGACGATAACCGGCTCGAACAATGGCTGGGGCCTGAGAATAAGAACAATGAGTGATGCCGATGACTCAGCGCATTTGTCTCATTGTAAGCAGTCCGACGCGTTTGAGTCGATCACGATGAGCTAAATGACAGGACTTGGCAGGTAGCCCACAGACGAGATAACTTTGACCTCGTAGTTGACCCAGTGTGTGTGTTTGTGTGTGTGTGGATACTTTGGCGGACCAGTGGTCTGAGTATCAGGCCACAATGGCTCCTTATTAATGTGGCCTTTATTGCTCATCCACGTAATGGGATCCCAACCAGGTGTGGTGGCATGCTAAGAGGTGGTTTCGACTTCGCTAGACACCTGCGCCCTCTCTAGCCTTCGCATTCCTTAATATATCTTGACGCCGGGCACATGCGAGTGGAGGGAGCGAGTGCGATAGACGCCTCACAAGTCTGTTGTCACTATGAGTGAAATCACGGACAAGTCAATGTGCCTGTCTTCGCCCTACTGTGGGACATACTGTGGACATCAACGGTCACGACCTTCGACAAGCGCTCCGAACCACACTTCTAAGTAGAGCTGCAAGCAAAGTGGAATATGAAACGACTGTCATAAGCTAGTGCTCTGTCTTACGACCCACATAAGCAGTCGGCAAACTCTCATTTGGATTTGCATACTTGCACGGCATGGGTCCGCGGATTAACCGATAGCGCAACCAACTGCCGGGGTCCTTACTTTATTCGTAGATTTGGTCTCTAGTATAGTATATTTACGAAAATAGGCAATACTCTTGATGAGCCTAGTGAAAACGGTACATACTATTATAATTTAAACACGCATGATGCTAAAATGTTGCCAGTAACACATCCCTTAACGGAAAACCGTTCTAAAGTGTGTAACTGCAAATGTTACGGCGGACAGTCCTCTCCATAAGCATTTGGGATATTATGTGCAGTCGGCACAAAATGCAGTCATTTGTTTGGTTTGCGGTAGAATATTTCGTCAAACCTGCAGGGGTGCGTTACATAGAGAGTGAAATCAGGAAAGAAAGTTCATGGCTGGCCGCTGCAGTGAGCGTCGTCGTTTACAAAAATCAAACGACCCAAGTGCCTTTTGAATACGGCGATTGTGTCAGATGGGAGCGAGTTTCACGTTCGAACCACACACAGACTAAATGAAAACACACGATGGTCTAGGCGTGTACACTCCCGTTTGACCCTCTACGGATGACCGCGCAGGTAACTCATGGTCGTGAAGTCAAAGGAATCTTCAGATGCCCCTAACAGGTCAGGTCCCGTTTGTCTATAGGATAGGGGGAACAAATTAATCTGAATCAGTCTTTCTGGATATGACATAGTCCTGATGATTTCTGATGGTATACATATGTTCCGGAGACCTCTATTATCGAAGAGATGGCAAAGATACTGTATCTAGGTCCACTCGACAAATGATAAATAATTGACCGTTTCTTATCGAGGAGTCGACAGAAGGTTTTGTGGGATGGATTATAAAACGAGAGTGTGAATAAAAAGAATACGCAAAATACAAAAACAAGTACACATTCCGCATAAGATTTTGCCTGCGCTTATCGAATAACCTGAAAATGAGTAAGCAAATTTCCAAAAAAATTATGTAAGTAATAGTTAATAGATGGAAGGCAGTCGAATAAACCGCGACTGACAAATGGGAGTAAGCTCAGGTTCTGTGGGTGCTAGCTGCCAATGAGAAAGAAAAACAAGCAATGTGCGGTAAGTGGCAGACGATGGATTACATAAAGTAAGCAGCCCAACCGTGCTAAGCACCGAAACCCTCAGTTTCGACCCTCAAATGGAACACAAGACAGTGTCCTAAGGGGAAGTTTAAGGATTATTTAGGACGATGGGTAGACGGGTCGGAGTTCAGATAGGATAGGACACACGGGAAGGTCCATTGGAGCGGACTGATTGGCCAAGAGACAGTCCTTGTTTGATACGGTAAGCGATAAATGCGAGGACGTGTGGAAGCGTCGGGGAGGCCTTTTCCGGTCCAAGGTGCCCGGACATCAATTGTTCTCGGTATTTATGCGGCCTCCAGTTGATGCGGGTACGTTTAACTAATAGACCAATAGGAAAGAGTAAACATGGACAATTAAAGGTAAGATAACACAGAGGATTAGCCACTAGGGTGATAGACGTCGCAAATGCCCATAAATGGCAGTCTTGCAATGGCCTATGTAAAAAAAGTTGGGCGGTGGTTATCGCAATGCCGTGGTACGGGCCAATAACCGGCAGCGCCCAAGGGGATCTAGCATTACAAATCACAAATCGGATAAATCGTTTCTACATTCCTACAATATCACCCAACGCGAAGCCAAGCAGTATAAAGGAAGGTATACAAGTGAAACCCGGTGAACAGAACCGACGTAAGG